GCTCCGGCCACTCCTCCTACAGCACAGGCGCAAGGCTTCCCGGCCCCCCTTGGCCACCCACCTCTCCCACCCTGGCCACACCCCCATCTCCCTCCAGCCCCAGCCCACACTCTCATTTCTCACGTTTCTCACAAGCCCCATGTTTGGGCCCAGCCATGGACCCCAGGTCCACCTGACCTTCCTCTGCCATCAGGCTGCCCCTCGGGAGGAGCAGTGGCAGGACAGTGGGGAGGTGCTGGGAGGACTTTGCAGGTGACACATCTGAACCAAGCCCAGAAGGTTCTCAGAGGAGGGAGTTGACCCAGTGGAGGAGGAGATGGGGTGACAATGCCCTTGACAGGGACAGGTGTGGGCACAGACAGAGATGCAGGTGCAAGCCCTGGATGCCAGAGGAGGAGGCGCTGTTCATCTGGAAGCTGTGGGGAGTGGTCCGTGGTCTCAGGTGGGTGGAGAAGAGGCAGCGGGAGAGGCAAGGCTCAAGGCCCCACCAAAATCTTCCAGCCTTGAGTTTTTTGTCATTTTGTTTTTAAGATTTATTTATTTAATTTTATTTGCTGTTATTATTTATTTATTTATTTATTTATTTATTTATTTATTTTTTGAGAGGTTTTCGCTATAGGGCGCGTGCGCTCGCCAGACAGACAGAGAGACATAGAGACAGAAAGCCAGAAATCACCCCCCGGGGGGGATGGTCACGCCACAATCCCTTCTCCTCCATTCTCCTCTCGGGATCTTGGGCACGCACGCACACGCGCCCGGCGTGAGATTTAAGCCACCGGGTCCGAGACGCGAACCGCGGTCGGCTGCGTGGGAGTTCAGCGACATAGCCATTACGCTAACTGCTGGTTCCCTTATTTATTTATTTTTAATTTGACAAGAGAGAGAAAGGGACAATGAAGAAGAAAGCTGCCAGGTCTGAGTCTCGAACTATGGTCAGCCATGTGGGAGTTCCAGCGCCACCTGCTGGCCCCTTTGTTTTCTTGTTTTAATTTTTGCAGCTGAAGACAGACACAGAGAGAGGGAGAGAAAGAGAGAAAGAGAGAGAGAGAGAGAGAGTGAGTGAGAAATCACCCTCCCGGGGATGGCATGCTACAAGCCCTTCTCCTCCATTCTCCCTTTGGGATTTTGGGCACACACGTGCACATGCCCAGCCTGTTTTTCAAGGCACCAAGCTTGGGAGTTAACTGTGCTGTCCACCATGTGGGATCCAGGCGCCCACCTTAACCTCCATGCCGTCTGCTGGCCCAGGGGCTTGAGATTTTATGAGAGGAGAGAAAGAACTGGAGTGGGGTGAGATGCAGGGAAGTGGGTAGAGTGAGGAGCCAGCCTGGGAGGTCAGACGGGGGAGGAAGAGAGGAGGGCGGGGGGCAGAGGAGGGTTAGGAGATAAAGGAGACAAGGGGTGCAGGCAGGGAGGGCACTGCTGTGGGTCCTGTGCTAAGGAGCGTGGCACCCCTGCCTAGAGCGACCTCAGAACATGGTGGAGGTGAGCTGGGGGTGATGGAGCTCCTTGCACCCAGTGCTCTGAGCAGAAAGCTGGTGCTTGGAAGCAGGTGTGGAGCTGCCGGGTGTTCCAGGAGGCCAGGGCAGCGGGAGCAAGGGACCCCAGTGTCCAGGCCAGAGCATCTTCCTGCAGCGGCCTCCACACCCCCCCAACTGTGGTCTGGGTAAGGAGCCAGGACCCCAGGTTTGCCAGTCCCTGGCTCCCTGTTCTTCTTGGACTTCCCTTATTCCCAGGCGAGGTCAAAGGAGCAGCCCTGAGCGAGAGGGGCAGCTGAGGGGCAGCAGATCCGAGAGACCACTCCCTAGACACTGCCCTGACCTGGGTGACCTTCACCTGGAGAGCTCGGTCTAGAGCCTGCCTCCATCGTGCTCTGTGTAGGGCCTGGCTCTCCCCAACCCTGAAGAACGAACAAACGCCAAGGGCAGCCAGGCTCCTGAGGGTGCTGACAGGACCCGGCGGATCCGAGCCCTGCCTTGGTCCTCAGACCTCCTTGGTCAGGAAATAACAGGCCTCGGGCGAGCCACCTATGGGGGCCGGCTTGTCCCTCGCTGGGTGCCGCCTTCCCTCCCTGCAGCCCCACTTGCGCCTGGCTCGTTTCTAGTGATCACTTTAAGGCTGGTGGCCACAGCTGGGCCCAGTGAGCCTGAGCCCAGTGAGCCTGAGCCCAGTGGGCCTGAGCGAGGATGCCGTTGCCGCCTACCCAGTGCCTGCCTGGCTGCGGCACATCCCGGGAGCGACCGTTCCTGCTCTGTGGTGTAGAGCTGTGGGCAGCAGCTTAGCTGCCTTGTGTGCCCAATGTCACGCTGAGCCACCAGAGGAGTCTGCTCCCACACCCTGCCTGGCCTTACTCCGCTTGGCTGTCGTCTCCCTCGGCGGGGTCCATCCTGCCCCCAGTCTCTGGCTCTGCTTCTCACTGGGTCTGTAGGTGCAGGCTGAGGTCAAGGCTGGTGGCCAGGTCCCCTTGAGGACACCCCATCTCTCCAGCAATGAGATCAGCCTCGCCCCAGCCCAGCCGGCATCTTCCAGGGAGGCTGCAGTGTCCCTGGGGCCAGGTAGGCCTGCCCAAGCGCTCAATTTAGAAACTCCCCTCGGTAGCGATTCTGCATTTCTGTGCCTGCGGCTGGAGAACGCCACGCCTGCCTCACCCTCCCTCCCGCGCGAGTACAGCTTCGCCTTCCTCCACCTGGGCCAGGGTCCTAGCCGAGGGAGACAGACGGACACTGGCCTCAACCCCTCCTGCAGGGACCTTCCCTCACGCTCCAGCATCCTCCTGCCACACCAAGGCCTGCAGGCAGCCTTTCCACGCCCTCCACTTTGTTCTCCACTTGTTTTCCACAGAGGTGCTGGGGCTCACAGGGGAGGCAACGGGGCCTACCGTGCTTTCCTACCATGCATGTGCTCGGTCTCGGCCCAGGGAGCGGAGCACACATGTCCTCCCCATGGTACAAGTGAGGCTCAGGGTACGGCTCTTGGCCTGTGGTCCCTTGGCTGATGAATTTGACTGTAAACCCTCCCACTTTCCAGCTCGTTCTCTGGCCTCCGGGCCCCTCTGGGTGTCAGCCATATCCAGGGGCCTGCCTGAGCCCAGGGCTGACACTCAAGGGCAGAGCTCATTGGACCATAAGTCAGGGCCACCTGGATTTGAATCCTCCTTGCACCCCATAAAAGCTGTGTGACCTCAGGTAGGACACAGGCCTCTCTGTGCTCACGTGTTCTCGTCTGCAAAGAGAAGGCAGCAGGCAGTGAGCCTGACACTCCCTGTCATCCGCCCGCAGCTCTTGTATGACAGCCCCAAGGCTCGGCAGGAAGTGGAGCACCACTGGCAGGCCTCGGGCGGCCCCCACATCGTGCGCATCCTGGACGTCTATGAGAACATGCACCACGGCCGGCGCTGTCTCCTCATCATCATGGAATGGTATGCTGCCTCGGCGGCCCCTCGCCAGCCCTGCGGCCTCACATCATTCTTCTAGAGCTTTCTGTGCTCTTCAGATAGCAGCTCTGGGGACCACCTGCCCCTGGAGCTGGGGTGCTACCACGAGGGCAATGAGTGATGGTGGGAACGAAGCCCCAGGGGCTCTAACCTGGCCTCCCTGGGTGTCATTTCCACTGCAGGGAGGGCTGGGAGAGCTGTCAGAGAGGGCTGGAACCCTGCGCACCTGCACGCGTGCATGTGTGCGTATGGAGAGGCTGGGAGAGGAGCAGGCACACCGCCCCCTCAGCTTCCCCCTTCCTGCCCAGGATTGTGCTCTCATGGTCCCACAGATGCTGGGGGATCGGGACCTAGAACCAGGAGCCAGTGGCCTCTTGCTCCTGGAGCCTCTCCCTCTAGCACCATGGCTCAGTCCCAGCCTTCCTCGGACTTTGGGCCCTATGTCTGGGCCTCTAGGTCTCCATCTGCCTTTCAGGCCCTTCCCCTCAGCTTAGCTAGCTCTTCAGGTGTGGGGTTCAGATCCTGGTTCTGCCACCCGTGTGTCCACGGGCAGCTGCTGGCCTCTCCTGATCTCTGTAACTCACGTTGAAGTTGTGGAGGATGACCTTAACGTAGTGTCCCCGTGTGTATTGTGTGTTCAGCCTTCGTGATTCCCTGAGGTTGAGGGTGTTACCTGTTTATAAGAGGAAGCTGAGTAGGGCCCAGCAGGTGGCGTGGTGGTTAAAGGCACTAGATTCCCACATGGCTGACCTCAGTTCGACTCCCAGATCTGGTGGCTTGCTTTCTCACTTTTTCTCTCACCCTCTCTCTCATTCTGTCTCTCTATGGCCAAATAAAAATAAATAAATAAATGAATAAAGATAAAATAGTTTTTTTAAAATAAAAAAGTAAAAAATAGGGAACAGCAGTTGGCATAATGACTATGTCACTGGACTCCCAGTAGTCGACTGTGTTTTGAGTCCCGAACCTGGTTGCTTAAACTCACACCGGGCACATGTGCATGTGTGCCCAAGATCCCGAGAGGAGAATGGAGGAGAAGGGATAGTGGTGTGGCCATCCCCCTGGGGGGTGGTTTCTCGCTTTCTGTCTCTCTGTCTCTTTGTCTATCTGGTGAGCGCACACGCCCTATAGCAAAAACCTCTTCAAAAACTTTAAAAACAGAGGAAGCTGAGGCACAGAGAGGTGAAGGGAGCAGCCCGGAGTCACGCAGCAGTGTGAAGGGTGGGCCCAGGCACAGCACACAGTAGGAGCTCAGAGAGCAGTGCTCATGGTGATGGTAAATGACATCTCATTCCACGTTCGGGGAAACCAAGACTGGAGAGGTGGCAGCTGCCTAAGTCCCTGAGTCACAGCCAGGTAGTGGCAGTGCCACTGGGGACACAGGGTTTGCTGGCCGGGATCGGAGGCCACCACCCTCCTCTGGTTCTAAGAGTTCAGTTCAGTCCCCCTAAGCTGACAGCCCACCATACACTCACCAGGTTCTGCAAGGCACGTGGGGAGGTGGCTGGTCGCCAGGGGAGGAGCAGTAGGGCCTGGAGCCTGGGCCTGTGACTCGGGCAGGGGTAGGGCGGTGGCAACTTCGCCCCTCTGCTTACGGTCACTCTCTGCTGCAGCATGGAAGGGGGTGAGCTGTTCCGCAGGATTCAGGAGCGCGGGCAGGATTCAGGAGCGCGGTGACCAGGCTTTCACTGAGAGAGGTATGTGTGTGTGCAGCTGGACCAGGCTGAGGGTTCCAGGTGAGAAGCGTGCACCGCAGTCGCTGTGTGACTCCGGACAAGGCCTTGTACCTCTCTGTGCCTCAGTCTTCCTATCTGAACAAGAGAGTGAGACAGAGTGTCCATCTCCTCAGTGGAGCTGTGACACCTTGTCAGAGATGGCCTCTCCGTGGCTTTGGCAAGGAGACCTCAAGGCCTCTTGGTGCTGACCAGCAGTCATCTAGGGGGAGGTAGCCCAGGCCCGAGGAAAGATGTCTGGGTGGCCTGCAGGCCTCTCTGGAGGAAACAGGTAGCTGAGGTGGCAGTCCGGGAGGGAGGCTCTGGGCAGCCCAAGTGCTCTCACTTTCCTGGACCAGCCCATTGGACTGTGCCCAGAAGAGGTGATGGGGCAGGGAGGGAGTCCCCAGGTCGCCTAACCTTTGAGCGGCATCACTGATCCTCCTTCTGTCCGTCTGCAGAGGCCGCAGGGATCATGCGGGATATCGGCACTGCCATCCAGTTTCTGCACAGCCAGAACATCGCCCACCGAGACGTCAAGGTGGGGCCAGGGAAGGGGTACCATCCCGCTCCACAACCGCTCATGGCTCCTGGCGCCCGCGCGCTGGAGGCCGAGTCAGCATTCGAAGCTTCTGCTCCGTGGCCCGGACCACCCTTCTCAGCCTCTCTGCTGTGGTTTCAGCATACTCACGCCATCCTAGTGAATGTCCTCCTTGCTTTCTTCAGACACTGTAATCCCAGTATAATATTGGGTCATTGGAGAAGTCATGGTGTATTTTTCCATGTTTTTCTATGCAAAAATGAGTCATGACTTTTCCAGCAACCCAATAAAGAGAACTGAGTACCTACCTCGAGCCAGGGGGCCCTGTTAAGCATCTCGTTTAATCCTCGTCCCACCCTGTGAAATAAGTGCCACTACCCATTTTACAGATGAGGAAACTGAGGCCGAGAGATTAAGTGACTTGCCCAAAGCTGTACAGTTTGCTGCGCAGGGACACATTCATTTATTTGTTCGCTTGTTCAGCAAGAAGTTTTCTGTGCATGCAATGCGCCAGACCTAGGCAGGGGCTGCCTGACGCTGTCGGGGCTGCTGCTAAGTCACAGCCTAGTTTCAGCAGATTAGGAGGCCCCTAGCACCAATATTGGGATGGTAAGAAGCTGTTTGCTGGGTACTGGGAGAAGGAACCGAGGTAGACCCAGTTGCTGGGCCTGCTGGCCCTTCCGGTGGATGGGCTTGAGGAATATTCTGGAAGCTCAGTTCTCCAAATTTTCTGTCCTAGAAGGAGTGGATATTAGGGGGTCATTGGGATCCTATGGTTTGAATGCAAACTGAGGTAGCCCTACATGTGCGATGCATACGCGCGCAAGCATGCATGTGTGAGCCACCACCAGAATGGAATCTGCGCCCGTCGGGTCCTCTGCCCGGGGCTGGAGCGTTATCTGTGTTCCTGACTCCCCACCCTGGTTTATTTCTTCCCAAGACTGGCCAGAGCGGAGGTGAGGGTCCAGTTGCTGCATCAGGGCCTCCCTCTGGCTAAGTGCCCCCAGCCTGAACAGTTCGACATGCAGAGTCACAACAGGCTCACCTCCTGAGTTCTTGCTTTATGTTGGCTTTTTTCCCCCAAAGGGGAGAAAACCTTCTGCAGAGGAGATCCCCCAGTGTAGATGAAACTGCTCCTCTGTTTTTTCTTTTACGCCTGTTGTATATGAGAGATGGGAGCAGGTTTGTGTGTGTGTGTATGTTTTGCCAGGGTCTGCCCATGCTGGGATTCTTCTGCCCCAGTTTCCCCATCAGCTAGGAGTACAGGCATGTGCAGCCACCCCTGGCACGTTTGGGTCGGCCTGGGAACCCAACCCGAGCCTCCCGTTTGGCTTCCAGCTTCCCAAGCAGGGCATGGTAGACCCTGCTTCTCTGTTTTTATTTTAATCCAAGGTCAGAGCATCTCCATCAGAACCTGAGCAAGAGCTGCCACTGGCTCCAGACTGGAATCCCCCACTGCCTCGTCCTCCCCTTTCTCTGCTTACGGGTCCCTCCTGCTCCTCTCTGTGACCTAGATCCTACCCATTCATTAAAAGCCAGTTTTAGGGCCACCTCCTCCATGTAGACCTCCCTGCTGCCCTATATGCCAGCCCTCTGCTTTGCAACCAGGAGAAACTGCCTCTGCAGCTCCTGGAGTCTGAGCAGTGGGGGCTGCTCCGCTGAGCAACCTCAGGGACGGGGTGTGTGCTTGGCAGCAACAGCTGGTGGGCAGTCTGCCTCACCCGGCACCTACGTCCTGGTAGTTCACAGCTGCATCGTTCTCTTGTGATCAGAGGTTCCAGCCCCAGGCCCTCTGTGGTGCTCAGTCATTCCCAGCCTTAGCTGAACACCCGCCTCACTTTCCCCTCTGAAGGAAGGCAGCACTGCCCTGCACCTTGGTCCTGGCCCATGCGTAGGTGGCCAAGGCCTAGGTCTTTTTATGAGGTGGACCTGGCTCCTGCACTGGGCAGAAGGGGTGAGTCTGACTGAAGATCCGGCAGAACCCCCACCTAGTACTTAGTTCCAACCCTTGTTTTCTCTTTCTGGCCCAGCCTGAAAACCTGCTCTACACATCTAAGGAGGGAGATGCTGTGCTTAAGCTCACTGACTTCGGCTTTGCCAAGGAAACCACCCAAAACGCCTTGCGGACACCATGCTACACTCCCTATTATGTGGGTGAGTGCCTGGGACGTGGGTTCTGCCTCCTCACCCTACTGTGCACTGCCCTGTCACGGGGTAGCCGGTGGGTTGCAGACACCAAAGGGTTAAAGCCCAGGGAGAAGGGAGGGGGCAAATTCTATCTGCATGGAGGCGGGTGACGTGGGGGGCCGGAGACTGCAAAAATATTCTCCCAAACTTCAGCTTCTGCTTTTGAAAATAGATCCAGGAAAATTCTGGCTGTGGCCTGTGAGCTGAATGACATCACAGCAGCTCTAAATATATACGTGATAAAAGGCTGCCATCGGCTCGGGACGGAGCCCAGCCGCGGTTGTTTTTCTCCAGTTTTTATCTTCCCGGATTCATATTCAGAAGCTGCCTTCGGCTCGGCACGGGGCCCAGCCGCGGTTGTTTTTCTCCAGTTTTTATCTTCCCGGATTCATATTCAGAAAGTGGGCAGGCCTCTCCTCCTACGTGAGCAGGCCAGAGAGTGCCAGTCCCCTGCCTTGGAGAGGGTCCCCTGGCCAGGGACGGGGTGGCCTGGGGTGGGCACATATTTATACTCCTGGAGAGCTTCCTGCTCCCCTGTGAGTAGTCAGCCTCCAGATCTGGAGAAGCCCCAGGACCTGAGAGTGGGGCGATGACAGAGGCTCCTGTCCCTGGGAGGGCTGCCAAAGAGGTGGGAAGCCCCCCAAGACAACTGAAATGGCACCCTGTTTACCAGCGTGCATTTTGCTGTATTTTAACTTAGAAATCTAGCCTACCCACCTCATTGCACAGATGGGAAGACCACGACCCCATGGGCTGGTAGCCAGACTGACAGCAGGACGCAGAGCACTGGCCCCAGCTCCGCCTCGCCTGTGCCTAGGCTGGGCTTTCAGGGAGGCGAGGGGCTCAGGACACAGGGGGACTACAGCCTCTGGCCTATGGCAGGACCCCACTGAACCCTGGATAGGCTTTTCCCTGCTGCTCTCCCTCCAAGGTGGAGACCAGCAGAGGTGCCCAGGGCCAAAGGAGCTAGCAAACTGTCTGGAAGCCGCTTATCTTCTCTGGGAGCTGTTTTCCTCCAGTTTCACACACATGCCGCCTTCCCAGAAGGTGCCAGACGCCAGTCTGCTCTGCCCTACCTCCCCGCGGGTACCTGCTCCCCACCTTGCCCAGGCTTCAGACTCCCGCCTGGGATCCCAGACCTCGGGTCTGAGCGCACCTGTGCCCTGTTCCCTGGCAGCCCCTGAGGTCCTCGGTCCAGAGAAGTATGACAAGTCGTGTGACATGTGGTCTCTGGGTGTCATCATGTACATCCTGTGAGTGCCACCCCTGCCCTGCCCCAGCTCCTGCCCCCACCCCAGCTCCCCTCAGGGTGAGGGGCTAACCCTCGCATGGGCTCACCCTCCCCCTGGACAAGGGACACCACTCCTTCAGGCCGCCCGAGGGGCTCCCGTGCTAAGGGCTGACAGCACTGGGATGTGCCTGTCTGCCAGTCAGGGGCTTGGGTGGAGGACAGGTCCACTGGGTGCTACCCCCGTCCCCGTTCCGAATGGCCCCTCCGTCCCCAGCCTGTGCGGCTTCCCGCCCTTCTACTCCAACACGGGCCAGGCCATCTCCCCAGGGATGAAGAGGAGGATCCGCCTGGGCCAGTATGGATTCCCCAATCCCGAGTGGTCAGAGGTCTCTGAGGACGGTGAGTGAACCTTCCTGCCCCAGCCTGCCCTACCTGGTCTCTGGGGCCTTCATTGTGTGTGACACCACTTTGGTGTCAAAAGGACCTGTGTTCAGATCCTGACTCCCCACTCACTAGCCGTGTGACCCTACGCAAGTCCCCTAACCGTTTTTTCGACTTGCTGGAGTGCACATATGCTCACCAGAACGAGGGGCAGAGAGAAAGAGGGAGAGATAAGAGAACACCCCGAAGGGGCATGGTCATACCACAGTTCTCCTTCGTGTCTATTCCGTCAGGATTTGGGGCACATGCACACGTATGCCCTGTATGTTTTTCAAGCTGCTAGAGCTGGGACTTGAACCATGGTCAGCCACATGGGGTCCGGTTTCCTGTGTATAATGCTTAACTGCTCCACTACAGAGCAGCCCAAGTTCCCTAACACTTTGTCCCTCCGTTTCTGCATCTGCTAAATGGGCTCCAAACTTGCTTCCTCAACATTCCCTCTAACTCCTAGTCCTCGTTTCTGTTTTTTCTCTCTCGAGACTGTAAACAGTTCTGCCCTGTATTAGTTAGTTACTGCTGCTTAACAAATGGTCCTGAACACGTAGTGCTTTAGAACAAAAAGCAGTTGCCAGCTCGCTGTTTCTGTGGGTTAGGGATTTGGGAGCACACGCTGCAGCTCACATCTCTCTGACAGAGCTTGTAGTCTAGGAGGGAGGGGGGACTGCTCAGAGGAACCCCGCCACCTCACCTCACCCGTCTCTTCCTTGCCCTCCCTAGCTAAGCAGCTGATCCGCCTCTTGCTGAAGACAGACCCCACCGAGAGGTTGACCATCACCGAGTTCATGAACCACCCCTGGATTAACGTGAGCACCTCCTCACCCCGCAGCAGGCAGGGTGTCGAGCTGGAGCCAGGCCACCAGGCAGGAGGGCGGTGGCCCTGGAGGCCCTCCACAGTGCTGGCCAGGCCTCATGTGCCTGGATGTATAGTGGAGCCCCACCTACAACCTGGTTCTGCCACTGCCCAGTCAGGTTCCTTCACCTCTCTGAACCTCAGTTTCCCCATCTGAGATGGGGGGTTGGAAGTCAGTACTGTTTTAGGTGTCTCCAGGTTCTCATCCATGGGCTTGGGGTTCCTTCTAGCAACTGATGGTGGTACCACAGACCCCGCTCCACACAGCTCGGGTGCTGCAGGAGGACAGAGACCACTGGGACGAAGTCAAGGTAGGGGACTCTGCCTCATTTTTTCTGCTGAGTTTTAGAAAGGGAATTCCAAGTTCTTTAGGGCTGCCCTAGGACCTCTGCGTAATTAAGATCTTTGTCTGCTCCCCTATGCCTGGAACATGGGGTATCTATTTGCCCTGGTGGTCCAACCGCTCAGTGTATTAGGCTATACTGCCCCATCCAAGCCAGTGCTCCTGGTTCACTCCACCAGTGACACGGGGTTTGAGTCAGGGGCTCAGTGAGAGGTCTTTGCCCCTGCTTTGCCAATAACCCCTCTCATAACTGATAATGCGCAGGAGGGTGGTCAGCTGCTCTTAGACTCTACAGAGGCAGGTTTGCACACAGTGTGCAACCCGAGTGCCCCAGGTACCCAGCGAAGTGGTCTTCTCGGCGGGCCTTGCCGTGCTGAGCCAGTGGCACTGGTTCAGGTCCCTGTCCCACTTTCCCTTGGTGCAGTTCCAAAGTCACCATCTTTGGTGCCTTAGCAGGTCAACTCGGTGTCCCCCACAAAGAACTGTGACAAAGGACTCGAGCCAGTGCTGGGCACTCAGTGGGCACTGGGTCACTATGGGGCTTCCCAGGCAGGTGGGTGATGTTCTTATGGTCACCACATCCTGACCTCTGTCTGTCCCCAGGAGGAGATGACCAGTGCTCTGGCCACTATGCGAGTGGACTACGACCAGGTAAAGATCAAGGACCTGAAGACGTCTAACAACCGGCTCCTCAACAAGCGGAGAAAGAAGCAGGCGGGCGGCTCTTCGGCCTCCCAGGGCTGCAGCAACCAGTAGTCGCCGGCCTCAGGGCAGCCAGGCCTCTCAGCCTGGGAGCAGACTGGAACGTGTATCGTGTATCGCACAGAGGCCCTGAAGTCCCGGCCAGGAGGGCCCAGGGTCATTCTTTTTAACAGAGGGGTTATTTTGTTGCCTTTTAATTTGTTGCTTGGAACTTCAGGATGGCAAACCCTCAGTAGGTACTGCCGCCCAGGCCTTCGTGTGGGCCCCGGCTCTGAGAGGGGCAGGGGGGTTGGAGAGCTGCTTGCTGCCCCACAGCGCCTTTGGCCAGGGTGACCAGAGGAAGGGTCAGCTGTGTCCTGCCCTGGGGCGTGGCCTCAGCCTTCCACCACTGGGCGTTGCGGCTGGGTTTTTCTTCTTCCATAGACACTCCCCTGCAGGGTGGGCAAATGGGCTTGGCCTTGAAAAAGGCATCCGGCCACTGGTTGTCATGGTGACCAGG